TATTGAGTAAACAGCCAGCTGAAAGCAGCCAACCTGTTCCTTTCTTTGAAAGGGCCAGTTTCAGGGGCCAGCGTATGTGTTTGAAGCCCAGCTTATCTGACAGGCGTTTCTATAGTAGGTACCTGCAGCAAAGTGCTGAAGGAGGGTTAGCAATCATCTAAGTGTTCATCAGAATTAATGGAACCGCTACATTAACATCATCCATGACTGTACAAAATAAGAAGTCCGATTTCTTGGAATCATTTGAGCAAAGATACCAATGCATTGGTCTGGTGTCCAAACACTTCAGATTCCAATCTGACTGAGGATGTGAGAAGCTGCAGGAACAAGCACCATCCTGCAGCCTACATAAAGATCCTGAACCTCTCACTGCTTTGTCAGAACTATTGTTGCTTCACAAATAAATTAGAAAATGAAGTCTAATTCATGCATACAGTGCTTTTAAAATGAATGATTTGGCTTCTTACAATTGCATCTTTTCTAAGCTCTGAAAGTGATGACAACTTGCTAAGTCTGTTCCAATAAACAATTAATCGCTTGATAAATTTAAACGACCTTGAGGTTTTCCATTCTGATGATTAATAATTTCTGAAGAGCAATTTTGTTCAGAGACTTCATAATCAATTGTGTGAAAGATTTTCCTTCAGTGTTTTATATTTCCTTTTAATTTGTTGTTTTAGGTTGTTATTATGTTTTATGTGGGATATTTAAAATGTGTTCCAGCGTAGAGTGTTCTGTACCAAATTAAGGTTTATAAATCTTTGGCAGGGCGAACTCGCATCATTCTGCCATTATCAATATATTACTTGAAAATGGTCTCAAAATGACAATTATCGCAATAATCTTTGGAACAATGCAGTGATTGTAGTTGTACATGTGTTATTTTCCCATTATTATCTTTATATTAGTCGATAATGGTCTCAAAGCAGCAACATTATTGTTCATCGCAATAATTTCTGGGTCAGTTTATCATCCAGAAAAATTTGTTATCGTGACAGGCCGACTGCCTGCATCTCTACATGAAGGCTGAATTGTCTGAGACTCGATGAGGGACGTATAAACTGACATCTCTGAGGAGACGTGAGCGGGATCGGTGGAGTGTGTAGGTGAGGGCCCTGCACTCATGTGTTGTCCAGATGGCGCTCATAAATCCAGAGGAGAGAGGAAGCCTAACCCCGAAAGCTGCAGGCGACAGAATAATGAGGCTGTTGCTTACTGTAAACTTCAAAAACAGCAACGTGTGGACACAGCATGAGGCAGACATAGGTATGACTGAAGGAAATAAGGGGTTATAAGTAAGAAAGCCAGATTGTTGCAGATCTCGCATGTGCACAACTGCTTAACAGTGAATTTTTCTCTGCTTTGCATGGAGGGTTGCACACTCATTTTAGGTTTCCTGTCCATGGTCAGATGGACAAAATCCCCAAGTGGATTTAAAATCAGCTGCAGAAATTTTTGTTGCCGGAAGGAAGAAGCGGAAGAGGGGAGGCTACTGCTTTAAGAAGAAGGACCTGGAGAGAAAACAAGAGTCATTGGAAAAACATTCACATTTTGTCACATTGCAAGTACAAACTTCAGCAAATGTCACTGAGATTTTACATGACAGACTAACATAAAGTAGTACATCAGATTGTAAGCCTCAAAAATAAGGCTTTTGATTAATTTATCAAAAGTTGAGAACATTTGCTGAAAGCAGACATTGTAAACAAAAGGACTCTGTACTGAGTACTGTCAATGTTTTTTTTGTTTCCTTGAATGTTTGTTTAGAAATGCTTGATACAATTTTTCCTTTAGGCTGATTGGAGCTTAATGTTGGAGCTAAGGATCGAATCTCTCCTCCCAATGTTTCTCAAAATGTTTTCAAAGGAATTGAGATTAAGTCAACATGATGGACGATCCGAAAGAAGAGTGTTATTCTCCTAATTACAAGAGCATTCAAAGCTTTTATTTTGAAAAAATTTCAGACTTTGGATCGTTTCCTTCCACTTAGCAGTTATGCACTACTTTGTTTTGGTGTGTTAGAAAAAAAAAATACGATAAAATACGTTGGTATTTCTGGCCGTCAAGTGACAAAATATGGAAATTTCAAGGGGCATGAATTGCAAGCATCATTTAAAGTCACACATCCTTAAATAAGAGCGCAGCCGGAGGTGTAAAGGCAGTAATGGAAAATCACGCAGTGTACTGACGCCGTGTTTCCCAGAGCAGCTCGTAGGAGGAATATATGAAAGAAGTCTGAAATGTCACAGAGAAGTGGAGAAATCACTAAATTAGACGTGAGTCGTGGATATGAAATTAAAAAAAGCAAATCTTGCATCAATAAAATTGCCTTGCTAAATGATATAAACCATTTTAGCAGACACATGGTCTTAATGTCATCTGGTTGTAGGGAGGACAAGTCCTGCCAAAGAGAGCCTGTGAAAGTGATGATGTAATGATGATTCCAGAGTCTGTCACAACTGAAGGTGTTTTAATAAACTCTGCTGCACACACATATGTTGTGCAACAGTATGCATTGTGTTTTCTTTGCCTTTTGAAAAGTTACAATGGTTGATAATCCACAACAGGGGTTTCCAGAAGCACAGTTATGTCAGATGCCTATTGGAGAAACGTGCAAAGACAAGGGCCTGCACATCTTCTCATTAGAAGAAAGTCAGGTGTTTCAGAATGGACCCGCTCTGTGGTTGAAAAAAAAAATAGCCAGTAATCAAAGGCAGTTTCTTCCAGCCGCTGTGCTATTATCCTCCCCGTTTGACTCTGGATTTACATGCTTATTGAGAACTTTGAGCCAGCAGTCCTGCAGGACATAAATAACAGGTCACACTGCATCCTGGAAAAGAGCATTTCCAGGATGCAACAATTATCGTCTTCATTCTTTGCCACATATTTGCAAGCACATATGCAGACGCATAGAATTAGACCGCTTGACCCTGTGGTTTATGGCCTGCAGATGTTTATTTTGGCCTCTGTCGCTTTTATTTGTTTCACTGAATATGATTGAAATACCAAATGCAAAAAAAGGTCTGAGATTTGGGGCAACAATTTGGAAAAATAGATGTTTTGTGTGATGATATTCTCATGTGTGAAAGGGTATTTGATCTGTTATGAACAATAAATATCCTTTAGATTCGCATGCGAAGGATTAAGCCAGCAGCGAGGTAACATTTATGGAATACAAAGATTTATCTTTGGGTGTTTTGCTGTCAGACGTTCTGAGACGTGTGATCCTAAAGTGATTGGAGATTTTACATCCTAACAACAACTTTTATTAAGAGAGTAACTCGCAAAAATCATGACACAATAACTTTTTTCCTTGAATCTGTTCAGCTCTTGCCTCTCTAGCTGCAGGTGCAAGGTCTGTTTTCCTGAGCTGATGCAGAAAATGACCCACTACTAACTTCCCACTTGGATTTACTGACATCCCTTGAGCAAATAGCTGTTTATGATAAAAACACTTAAAACCTCAATCTGCCTACAAATATTCATCCGTAACAGACCCTGTAGTTCTCTTACAGAAAACAGGTGGCAAATCTGAGCAGACGGTGCTGGTGTTTTGTTGTGTCAGTGTCTTTGTTTGTCTGTCTGTCTGACCTTCCTAAAAATAGCTGCACAGCTAGGAATATTACAGCTAGAAGTGGAAAAGTCCAAAAACACCCAAATGTGTTTGTGTTTGCACAGCTGAGCTTGGGATTTTTCCTACACTGTGAAGAAAAAAAAACTAATTTATGGTAAAATATTGGATGCCGTGGATGCCAGTACTTTACCGTATAAAGACTGTAAAGTTCTGCCAGTATTTTATCGTATTAGCTAAAATACGGTAAATATCTGGCAACCGCAGCTGCCGGTATTTTAGTGTATTTCCCAACATACAGTAAAATAACATATTTCCTAAAATAAGGTAGAATTAAAAAATGAAAATGTGGTTTTGCCATAGTGCATACGGTAATACTGCCTGAGGCATAAAACCTTTGCAACCGTGACTTTAGCAGTACAGAAATGTAAACTTTTCTATGCAACTTACTATAAAAACAACACATATACTGTACTGTAAAGATTAGTCTATGTGAGTGAAAGACACAACAGAACAGTATGATATATTGACATTTTATTGTAAAAAAATAAAAAAATAATAAAAACTATGGTAGCTGTTGTTACCAGAATTTTACCATAAAAATTACAGTGCAACACACAAGGAAGTGTAATTTGTCCGCTTTCAATATGGAACGCTATGGTAATATAATGCTTTGGATATTACGGTCAGCAAGTGTTGGTATTTCACCATTTTTTTTACCTTAAATGTACGGAGTTTTTTTTTACAGTGTAGTATCCTGTTGACAGTTTTCCTTAAATTACTTTTTAATTTTAACTTGCGGTAGAGCTCTTTTTAGTGACTCCTAAAAGTCTTAGACTGATAAAATGCAATAGGTGGGCTTGTTTATAAAATTAATTTCTGTCTTGCATAAATGCATCACCTTCGCCCTCACCCGCACCCTTGCATACAGTGGGCCTAGTGTCTTCTTTGAGTCAACAGTGTGAACCAAAGTGGAAATCTTTGAAAAGAAACGGAGTCACAAACCACAGTGCTGTCAAACCAGCAGAAGCTCCCATGTTGACTTCATTTCCCCTTCAACAGAAAGTGCATCTGTGTAAGTTGGTGCTTTGACTTGAGCAGCTTTTTGGCAAAGTGGTAAAGCATTGGTTCTGCCGTGGCAAATGTAGTGTTTTATTAAGACTGTGCTGTAGTTCAGCAATGACTGTCTTTATCAACGATTGCAAAATAAACAGTCACTCTGTAAGGGGGCATTAGAGCCCGCAGTGTCATTATTTCAAACCAGATCACCAGAGAAAAGCCTCCTTTGCCCTGCAGCTCATCAGATCTAATCCATTCTCCTGCCACTACTTGGGTTAGTAAATGTGGTTTTCAGCACTGAGGCTGCTTGTTGAAGCCTGATTCTGTTATAAGACTCTACTATAACATGTATTGTGTTTTCTGTCTACAGGGCAGCGACAGACCATAATGTAGACAACACCACTGCCATGTTGAGAGAATGGCTGAAGAGAGCGCAGCGCGTTTATCACTATGTGGAGTGGAGGCCGATGGAGGAGCCCAGGTATGTTCACAAACTGAGATGCACAAAATATACTTTTAATATCAGATTTAAAAAAGAAAAAAAAAAAAAACGTCCACCCCTCTGATTCCAATTTTAAGCTGAAAATTATTGAAGCAAAAAAATTTGCATTTCTCCTTAATTTCTTATGTTGAACTATGAGCCTCGAGGGTCTTTTTCTCAGTAAATGGAAACCAGCAATTATGTCCTGCTTTATGTTCAATAATCTGCATTACAACACAGTATATACTGTATTACAACAAGTAATATAGTATTTATCTTTTATGTCTTTTTATAGCATAAATGGAAAAACTCGTCGTCATGAGAAAATTTCTATTTTCCCACAATGTTTAATTTAGAAGTGAATCCATTTATGTGACTTACCGTTTGAGAGAGAAAGAAAGTCTGTCCTGCTGAAGCTGTTTCAGACAATTATTGATTCTGTTCTATCGGTCTGCATGGCACATTTCCACTTGATATTACACCATTCAATTTCCCATATTGCCACTGATTAAGATGAGAATCCCGTCAAGTCTGAGAACAGCTCCTCACCTTTACCTGCTTTTATCTATAGTCAGAGCAAAACTGAAAAGGTAAATACAAATTACAAATGAGGATCCAAATGTACCTGGCCACCACGCACAGTGAGCACAGGCTGCAGCTGCCCTTTGAAAAGCCTCTGACACATGACTTTGTGTCTGTATATTGAGAAATGATCAGTTAGCTGCAGTGAGGCCCTTTATCTGGGAAACATTTGAATCCCAACGTCAGATTGTTCAACGTTAAAAACTGGATGGCATCCAGTCACCAGGTAAACGATTGGTGCGCTCAGTCTCACTAAAATCTGTGTCAACAGTTAGTCTCTTTAAATGTTATTAATTTCATTGCATTTCTTCCTAATGTAACACAAAAATCAAGTTGCTCTGATTGACACTTTGCATTTTTTGCATCAGCTCCTACACAGATGAGTGGGGTCCAAAGCACTGGCCCCCTTCCAGATTCAACCATCTAATGAAGCTGAGGCAGGCAGCCCTGAAGGCTGCGCGGGAGCGATGGGCCGACTACATCCTGGTAACGCCGTAAACAGAAATATGCAGCCATGTGTCAGGCATTTGACGATTACTAAATAATCCCAGGCTATTGGTATTTTTTTTTTATTTTATTTGCGAGAAAACATTTTTTTTCCCCATGCTTTTAACATTTGGTTATAGGAATTAATAGTGGTCATAAACCCCATAATCCAAAAGCGTGAGTGCAATGTTGAATCTCTGTCTTGCATAAGCTTTCATGCCTCTTCAGAATAATTTGTCTGGATTTTATGTGATAGTCCATTGCAAAGTAGTGCAAAAATTAATTTGGAAGTTCTTCTGTTGTGAGCGCCGTTTACTCTGACTGATTTATTTGGCAGTAGTAATTTCCTTCAAAAGAAAACCTGATCATATCTCTCATACTTGCGCTTTGAGCTGATGGGAAGAAGTATGGCACTAAATACAGGGAAATCCTGTGAGAAAACTGTTTAGAGACAGAGAAAGGGTTAAATCAAAGCAAATGTGTGTTAAGTTGGAATGGTCTAGTCAAAGTCTTCACCTAAATCCAGTCATAAACTGAGAATCAGAGATGATCTCCTTCCAATTTGATGTACTTTGAGTTTATTTGGAGGGGAAAATGCTTAGATGTTCAGTCTCTGCATGCTCAAAGCCAGAAAAGGCTTTGCCAAAGCAGCAACAAGTAGCAACATTTCTAACAAAATATTTAAAACCATTTCACATGTTGTTCTACTTTGTGTTGAGCCATCACATTAAATTGCTCTAAAACCCTCTGAGGTTTGTGCTTGTAGCTTGTGAAACTGTGAAAAGGTTTATGTGGCATGAATACTTTAGCTTTGCTCAGTAGACTTAAACAGAATGTGTAATTCTGCTTTGGTCTTCAGTCATTTTGCTGTTTGCATCGTTGATTTGATCACTAAACAAGAAGCAAAAACATTGCTGGCACGAAATCACTCATTCGCTCAAACCTCCGCGCCCTTCAGTTTGCCGACAGCGACAACCTGTTGACCAACCCCCGAGTGCTGGACCTGCTGATGGCCGAGAACCTGACGCTGGTCGCTCCCATGATGGAGTCTCGCTCTCTCTACTCCAACTTCTGGTGCGGCGTCACCCCACAGGTGAAGCTCAGACAGAAGCCAGCACATTTGTCCGTTCTCCGAGTTACCAGCTGAGCACGGTTCTATGGATCCTCTCTCAGGGTTACTACAAGCGAACCCCCGACTACCAGCCAATCAGGGAGTGGAAGAGGCTCGGCTGTTTCCCTGTTCCTATGGTGCACAGCACCTTCCTTCTGGATCTTCGCCGCGAATCCAGCCAAAATCTGGCGTTCTACCCCCCTCATCCGGACTACAGCGGGGCCTTTGATGACATCATGGTGTTTGCCTTCTCGGCACGTCAAGCAGGTCGGTTTGAAACTCTCACCAAACCACTAGACTTCATGCAAGGAACCAAATTCCTTGCATAAATGCAGACCATCAGTGACTATTTTAGCTTCTTAGCAGTTAATTGAAACTAAAAAGTTGTTTTTTTTTATGCCAGGATGCACTACAAAGAAAAAAAGTCAGAAGAAGCTTTATTAATTTTCTGCACGTGTCTGTGAATGACGTTTGGTCGCTGAGATGAGTCTGCAATGTGCTAATTTACTGAGCACGTGCGGCTTTGCTGGCTGCACAATTTGTGAGTTTGGCTTTCTAGTGAACAATCACCAAACAGGACCATTAAGCTTTCCCATATGTGCTGAAAAACCAAATAAACACATGAAAGCATTCATGTAAACATTAGCAGATGGAAGCATGAACTTCTTCCAACTCATAAATGAACATCAGCACCAGCAGGATAAAAGGAGGTCCAATTAATCTGCGCTTCAGTCACTCGTTTTTACACCTTTGAAGCTCATTATAGTCCTGCAATAAAGATTTACCATCCAGGTGGACCACCTGTTGATTTGACCCCTCTAACCTTACTTACCCTTTGGCCACCTCGCATTTTTCCTGGCGGTTTTCCTCTCAGAAGTGAAGTGAAAGTAAACCCTTGATGCTTTGTTTTCTATGGTCAAGAGACGATATATTAACTTCGTTTAAATGGATTTTATTATTATTTATTGAGATGGGTGTGCAAGTGCAAAAACATAAAAAAGCGAATTTTCTTATGTTCTGTTATGTATTTTGCACACATTTCTAATCAACTGAATTATGAGCTGATTCTAGTCATTATTCAGAGTGATGAAAATAACCAGCTTCACTCATCTTGAAAAAAACACTGAAGTGTTTTTGGAAATTAAAAAAAAAAATCATATGAAGGTGTTATATACTACTTAGTGAATATTACACCCTTAATGCCCATTTTAATGCAGTTTTGTAATGTCTAAGTTTTTCAGAAACTAGCACAAAAAGCAGTTTGCATGCTGCAGGACTCCATTCATAAGTCATTATGGCACCATTTGGTGTCGCTGTGACTTTTTAAACATTTATCTCTTCAGTAGAAAATAACAGCTTAAATTACATTCTTGTTCATGTCGCTGTTTAGCAGCATCTGCCTTGAAATAAACAACTTCATATCAGACTAACTTGTGTGGTTTCCACTGGACAGTCAAAAACTTGGCTTAGAAGATTACATACAAACATCTCAAAATCTTACAACAATATTTCTGTTGTACAATTTTACAAATATGTTTAAAACCTTGAAGAAATCTATTCTAACTCACGATGTGAATGACAGTATAAACCAATAGACTCCAAAGTTATTGCCATTGGGGCAAAATTGTTAAATTGAAAGTTGTCTTGAGCTGCGAAAGGTCTTGTTTTTAACTTTTTTTGATTACCTGCACAGAAATCTACTAAGCAAGTAATACATTAAAGAAACAAAAGGAAGATTTTTTAGAAAAGTAAACATTGAAGATCAGACTAAAATAACCATCTTGCATGTTTGCCTATTTAAAATACGTATTTTTTTTCTTGGTCTACAAATGTTTTTAGTCTTTTTTCAACAACAAGAACTGGTTGTGGGTCACTTTTTCTTTGAAAATGTTTGCTGGTATTTAACCAAGCGTAATGAATGGGTACACCCAAGTCCACTCTTAAGTAGAAATCGCTGGAAGTTTGTGATTCTGTTCAACACAAACTTCAGGGCTCAGTATAACATTTCATATTTGAAGGATATTTTAATGAAGCTCTTTTTGTTAGTATGGTCGGTTTCTTTTACAGCTTCCAGGAATATTTTAAAACACCAGAAATCAAGTTTGAACTTGAAACAATGCCCAGATGCCATGATGGAGGATACGGAGAGCTCATACTTATGCATGAGCTTTTACATTGTACTTTATATGGATTAAGGGACATTTTACATTTGTGAGCTAGTTTTCCACTCATCCTTGTCCTAATTGTTATGTTCCTGTGCCTTACTATTTTAATCGGTAACGCACCGTCAATAACCCGGTACCAACAGACCAAGCTGTAGTTGCGGATATTTTTTCCAACAGTGTTTCTCATAAAAAAGAAATGCACATTATAAAGAAAGGGTACTTTATTTTTTGAGTGAAGATTTGCTCTAGAAGAAGAAAAAAACTGCTCAATTCCCATCGATCACCAACGCTGGGCAGAGCAACTTGTGGTCAGGGGCTGCACAAAATCATTACAAACCCTGCAAATGGTGAAAGACTTGAACTTTAATCGGCATTGGTGAAGCGCTTAAGAGCAAATAACTTCTGGTATGGATTAATCTTTTAAGGGTTTCTGTTTTTGGAGTGTTTCACACACAGAAATGGAAGCATCCTATAGTTTTCTGGCCAATCACGATTACCAATCTTTAAAACGCCTGACGTACAGATTCAGATTTTTTCCAATGCCGATTATTTAAATTTTTTTTTGTTGTCTGAAGTATGTTGCTAAATTCAGCAAGAAAATCGCTGAGTTGGCAGGGGGGTGACTATAATATAACTTGGTGGGTGGACGTGTCAGACTTCTCACGGCAGAGACAGCGGTAGGCAGATGAGATCGATTGATAAAATGAGCTTCACATGTAAGCATTGGCCACTCAGCAATCTCCCTAAATGATAGAAACCAGGGCCGATTTATTGGTCGAGGCAGGACGACAATGAAGTGCTTGCCTAATTTCCATGATTGTCGGAAATGTTTGTGTTACAGCAACCCGTTTATTTGTGTGTTTCAGGCGTGCAGATGTACGTGTGCAATAGGGAACACTACGGCTTCCTGCCCGTCCCGCTCAAAGCTCAACAAAATGTGGACGACGAAACTGAGAGTTTCATACACACCATCTCAGAAGCTCTGAGTGAGTTTCCACTCTTAAAAGCCCTTCACATGTTTACATTTTATTACTCATTGACCTCTTCACCTCTCAGGGTTGTCTCTCCTTCCTCTTGACCTCAACGACCTTTGGTGCTTGCATCGTGTCGGTTCATGTCAACCCCTCTCCACCCTTTTGTTGCCTGCTTATCCCCATCCAGTTCGGTGATTTTCTAACATAGACCTTCTTGTTTTTTCCTCCCAGTTGAACACGACATGGAGCCGTCTCAGTACATCTACACTCCGCCGTTACCCCCAGATCCAATGGACTTCAATGATGTAATGAAATGAGATATTTAATCGCCAGTCCTTACTATTTATTTGTCAAATCTTTATTTTTTACTGTGGAATGAGGTTTTTTTTTTTTTGGGTGGATGTAAAACCGTTTTCCTGTCTCATTCTTTCTTTTTTTTTTTTTTTTTTTGCAATGTTTAGATTTTCCTGATTAACTTGAAACGCCGTCTGGACAGAAGAACCAGGATGTTGAAAACAATGGGCGCCATGGGCATTCGCCCCACTCTGATTGATGCAGTGGACGGGAAGTAGGTCACAAACACAACATGAATCTGAATCAGGAACCCTCTAATACTGACTGAAATATCTGTAAAAACTGAAGTCTCAGCTGCTGCTTTCGTCTTTAATCTTGAGCTCGCTATATTTCCTGTCATTAAATCCATCCTTCCTCTCCAACTTTGCATTCATTGCTTCCTGTTTAAGTTTTCTCCCCTCTTCTTTGCAGACTTTAATCCTTTCTTAGAAATCTCCTAATCCCCCTGCCTCCCTTTTTTTCTTTGACAATCTGGGTTGCAAACTGTTTGCAGTGATTTCAGGATGATCAATTAAGTCATTTTCAATAATTTGGATTTTTTTGTATTCTTATCATCCATGTTATTTTTCTTGCCTTTCTCTCAGAGCTCTAAATACATCCCAGCTGCAGGCACTGGGAATTGAGATGTTGCCAGGCTATAAGGATCCATATTCTGGTCGCGTCCTCACCAGAGGGGAGATTGGCTGCTTCCTGAGTCACCACTCTATATGGAAACAGGTGAGGGCAGGAAGATATGGCTTTTGTCTAAAGGAAAGGTCCAGAGTGAACCAGGTCTGGATTTCTTTAAACACTTTGCTTGGACAAACATTTGGGCCCCTTTAGACGATACATATGATGTGCAACTGTGCTGAAATTCTCATAAATTATTTAATTATTGGCAGTGTTTTATAAAAATTCAAACTCTTCACATAACCTGTAAGGAATTGTGGTGAAATGGTGAGGGTTTGTGCTAAAGAAAGGTAATTTCTTTCAATCTGTGAGGCAAGTAGATGTCTGGAGATGCAGGTTAACTTCAGAGTGAAAGACAAAGCTTCTTTGCACCAATTGATAAGCATATTACTGAAGTTACGATTGCTTCTGCTTAAAATGCAATACACATATAAGGAAAGAAGACGTGAAAAAAAATTATAATTACATAACATTTTGTGCTGATGAATGTTAAAATAATTTCTAAAAGTGTCCAGCATGTTGGTGGACTGGTGACAATTGAGAAAAAAAATCAATCAATCAATTTCTTATAACATATTCTATCTATTTACGCTGTTACCCTAAGAAAGAATTGTGCAAAATTAAGTGCTAACAGAATTTTTAGAAGTTTTTTTTTTTTTTTACATGCATTTTATGTTTAAAACATTGTACAAAATGTCAGACAGTGCTGGCAAACGGTAATTTGGGAAAACTGACATTGCCCCTTTAAACACCAAGTAGAAGAAGAAAACTGAGTAAAAATGATTTTTCATTACCTTGTTTATGTTCTCTGATCTTTAGGTGGTTGATCGTGGCCTGCAGAAGGTTCTGGTTCTGGAGGACGATGTGAGGTTTGAACCCAGGTTTAAACGAAGGCTTCAGGCCATCATGGAGGACATAGACAGAACCCAGCTGGACTGGGACCTCATGTAAGATCTTCTCCGGCTGCACAAATAAGCACCTCAGTGTGGATCAGTCTTTCTAAAAGCTAAAACATACTCTGGCCTCCTTATTCTACCTTCAGCTACGTGGGAAGAAAGCGAATGCAGGTGCAGCAGCCGGAGCTTTCAGTGGAAGGTGTGGACAACCTGGTGGAAGCCGACTATTCCTACTGGACCCTGGCCTACGCTCTTTCACAACAAGGGGCCCGAAAGTTGTTGGGGGTACAACCTTTCACCAAGATGCTCCCTGTCGACGAATTTCTTCCCATCATGTTCAACAAACACCCCAAGTCAGTGTTTACGTTGTCTTCTCTGGTCTAAGATTAAAGCATAAACAGCACCTTGCAGAAGCATACCGTATTTTCCAGAGTATATACCGCACCTACAAATTAAAAAAAAAAAAAAAAAAACTGGAAATGTATATATTTGCTGCACCGGGCTGCAAGCCTTTGGTACGGCTGTTCTCGGTTTTCCATGAGGATGCAGCAGAGGGCCATGTCCTTAATACGACTCTAACTTCGAACCATAATTTAAGTGCAGCGGCTCGGTTTCCCTCCTGTAGTGGAAGATCGATTCTCCTCAATTTAAAGGCTGCGTCATATGAGTGTGAAGAAAATTCTCTGTCATGCATGCGGTTAGCATGTGCTTGTTCTAAATTCAAATTAGCACTTTCTTCTTTGATTTCCAATTTGACTTCCGATGATATAATCTATTGGCACATGAAATCCATCAGGTGGTTATTGTGTAAAATAATAATAATAATTAAAAAAAAAAAACTTTAAACTTCAGGAACATGCATCAATCATACTGCCTCTAAAAGAAGCAAAATCAGAAACAGACCCTTTGTTGCTACAAAAAGCAATAAAGTATTGCAGAACTACTAATTGAACATCATTACTGTAATTATCTATACATAGAAAAAACACACACACACAACCGAGTTCCTGGCCCGTGTGCGACTGTGTTACACTGTGGACGACGTGTAGCGTTTTAGTTTGTGGTAAACCACAGCCTCCTTCATGTTCGGCTCCTGCGAGTGATTCTTTATACATCTGTGCTTCTCCAGTTTTCCCTTTCTGTCCAGCACAGCTTTCCTGCTCTCCTCTCCTCACACACACAGGGCCCAGATTGTTCTGAGGGCTCTCCGTGCCTAACGGTGCCTCAAGCAGGACAAACAATGCCAACATTTTCTTCTCTCTTCGAATTAGGGTTTTCCACCGGTGCCCTGCGTTCCTCTTCCTCTACCACCTTCCTCCATAGTCATCTCCAACTCTCTCTTCTGTCTTTCTCCACATGTCCTCCATGTTGCTCTAGATCTTTAAATCTGGGTTCTTCTCCGTTCTGGTCGAAAGCACAACTTCGCCATCGCCGTGTCACCCACTTTTCCTCCCCCTCTCTTTGAGGAATGTCGAGCAGCAGCGTGGCTCTTCCTGCCGGCTGGTGCAGAGGGACAAGATTCCCATTGATAGAGCTCTGAGCGTGGGGGCTGGTTTGAGATGAACCACGCATGTGCGCGTGTGCATGTTTCAGTGTGTGTCTTTTGGTGTGTGCTTATAAATTACTTCTAAATGACTAAATAAAAAGTGTTTATTTATTTTCCGAAGGTATAGAAAATTTGACACTAAGATCGAAAAAGTATGAGGAGAATGTGTCACAAATACGTTTCGGTTTAGTCATTTATTAATTGTTACTATTTTCACGAAGCTCACTTTTTATTCATAAATGCAAAGACTCAGAGGTGACGGGAATCAAAAGCCTTTTGGTGCAAAAAGCTTGATTGCGTGGAGGATGTGTGTGACTGTGAGTGTGTTATTAAAGCTGAGCTACTCAGAGATCAGGGTTGGTGTAGTGACGTGTCACTTCTCAGTGCTCTCCTTTCGCTTCAGCTGCAACAAGAAACAATATAAAACATTTATTGTAGACCTGCTAATCAAAAATTCTTACATATATATATATATATATATATATATATATATATATTTTTTTTTTAATCCAACATCTGGTAATCATAAAGTTTGTCGATATTGTTAAATTGGTCTATTTTAAATGTTTTCTACTGATTTGTTTTTTTACACTATGTTGGTTTGCTAAGAACATATATGTCATATATGTCTTTGTTGTTTGTGTATAATCTGCAAAACAATAAATGGAGTGACTCCTGGCCCCATTCCTCTGACAAGAACGGAAGTGAAATTCTGGATGAACTGAATGTTTCGGCCCTGATGAGTCAAGAGTTTTTCAAGACAGAGGAAGTGACCTTTTTGGGCTTGTGGCTGATTGTCCTGAAACAGCGATGATAAAAAATATTACGGATTTGTTGCAATCTGTAATATTCTAAAAATGCACTGAAGTTTATGTTTGTAATGCAAGAAACTGACACAAAGTTTAAGAGGGAACGAATAATATTGCAAATGGAGAACCCCAATAAAACTCCAAAAAAATCTGAAGTAAGGAAAATCCCTGCTCACTCTTGAACGAGTTTTGGGGAAAATAAAAAAAACACTGAGACACTATGTATTTTTCTCTTTTTATCACATTAATAATAAATTAATATCGTAATATCATTGGTTCTGTCAATATCTCGTGTCCTCCTCAGTGTTCAGTACATGTCCCATTTCGAGCCACGGGACCTGAAGGCCTTCTCCGTGGAGCCGCTGCTGCTCTATCCCACCCACTACACCGGCGAGCCGGGCTACATCAGCGACACTGAGACCTCCACCATCTGGGACGACGAGGATGTCGCCACAGACTGGGACCGGCAGCACGCCCGCAAGACGGCCCAGCAGGGCCGCATCCGACCCGTGGCGCAGAACAGCGTCACCGGAGACTCGCCGCCTCCTGCTGCCCGAGCATCGCGCGACGAACTCTGATGAATTCGGGCGAGAGACTCGGTGAACGCCCCGCATACACGCACTCCAAAGGGAAACTGGTGCTGACATACTGTACAGGCGTTCAATTAAAAACAGGTGGATTGCAGCAGAAATCAGACGAGCCTCGTTTCTGCCACCTGGGGAAGGGACAAGGCTCTCAGATTCTGGGACGAGGGCCAAACACGACTTTTACAAAGAACTTTATTTATTCTCCATGTGTCTCCTCGGTGCGTGTGGATCCAGTTCTGGCCTGAAAGACTTTACACACGCGAGTCGGCTAGCAACATTTACATGATGTGAAAAGAAAGCAACGAAATCTTTTGTGAATTCATTTTTGTGTTTCAAAAAGGATTATTTTTATTTAAGCAGAACAAATGTGCGTCTAAGAGACTGCGGCGGTATAAAAGAAACCTACAGCTGGCCGAAAACATTTCTTTTTTATTTTTTTCTCACAAAGCTGTGCATCAACATCTCTACTGTATTTATACTTAGTTTTGCTCGCTGGTTCCTATTTGTAATTCTTACATACTGAGCATGTGTAGGAGGATGGAGGCTGACGTTTTGTACCCCAGAGTAATTTTTCAGATGATGTCATGCAAACAGAAAAAAAATTAAATAAAATAAAAGTATGCAGCGGTTTCTTGCCAAGCAGCAGGGCAGCAACAGATGCTTTTCATGGTCTAAAGTTTTTGTTGCAGGAGGAAGAGGATCTTTCATAGCAGGCTGGCCCTGCTTGTTAATATTTCAGGACATTGTTTTGTTACCCTAGAAACAAACAAAGTTTTAATCAATTCTGTCGATCTTAAAACATACGAGATTTTGGATTCTTCTCCTGAACACAGGCTCTTCTTTGTTGGGTTGCGCTGCAGAGTTGGGAGCAATAAAACTTCTTCACTTCTTTATCTGCCTCTGCAGACTAAACAGGCAGATGTTATCTGTCTTTTTGCACCCTTTCGTGTTGTTGTTGTTGTGCAGACATGGTGGAGTGATTGAAGACGGTAAAAAAGAAAAAGAAAAAAAATCCTCCGTCAGCCAGATTAAAACTCTTGAGACAAATCACTTTTTCTTCTCTGCTGGGCTAACATAGTCATTAACTCTGTGTATATTATTGTTTAAAGAGTTTAGAACAACCATAACTTTCGTCTAAATGTTCCCATGACCTCCTGGGAATCTCCTATAATGAAGATAATGGGATTACACAGATGGGGGTAAAACACAATAAAAGCTTAGGGCCTCCCTGTTAATTTAAGGGTTTGAGCATGGATCGTGTAAGGAACAATCTGTCTTTGTGGTGTGCTGCCTCCTGGTGTTAGACCAGTTCTGTGAAATATGTCACGGCTTTATGCTTCCTGTCCGCTGTGGGATTCGACTGGAGATGGTGTGAGATGGAAGGAGAGCACAGACCCACAACTGAGGGGATTATGGGCTACATTTGCAGCTTCCTGCAAGAGTTCTCACACTCGTTTGGCGTTTTGCTCATTCTGTACTGCTACACCAAAGACTTATTGGGATTTTATACCAAGAAACAAGATTCGTGACTTTTATTTTTAATTGGTCACAAATAAAAATCTGAGAAGCATTCGAGTTACTCCGACATCCAAACATGGATACGGTTTAACTGGTTGCTTTCACAAGTCACTTAATTAGCAAATGTGCAGAATTGTGAACATGTCAGCGTGGGTACAACTGCGCTGGTCTAAAATGTTCTCTATAAAACGACATTTTATAGAGAACATTGTTGAACACCCAGCTGAAGATCAAGGAACACATCAGAGTTTTGGAAGCAAAAAAGTTGTGCAGACGTTTCAGTGAGTCGGTTTGCCACCAGCTATGTGTGACAGCCGGATCTAATTACACTTAAAACACAATCTGTGTCAAAAACTAACGCCACTCACCACCCTGAACATACTGGCCCCACTGTGGAGCATAGTTGTGGCAGCGTTATGCTGTGGGGATTTCTTTCTTTCTTTTCCAGCTGGATAGTGAAGCCATTTACACAATAAACATGTTCAAATTGTTTTTGTCAGTGACTCAGGGAGGCTGAGGTTAAAAATTTCAGATTAATATTTAGGTTAAAATGTCAATTTTAAGATTCTTTCTGTTTTCAAGCTTTGAAAAAAAAAAAGAGCTCTATTATTTTAAAATGCAAAAAAAAAAGGGTTAGGGTGTGAATATTTTTGTAATATTCTGTATACTTTGTACAGAACAAGGGAGAAAAGTGAATGCCTAATTTGATTTATTGATTGCTTTGGTACAAGAGGTTAAAAAAAACAAAAAACATTTGGTTATGTTTAGACAAATAATCTGTTTTGAAAATGCTGAGTGAAAATCTATTAACTATCCTTCTATTTGTCCTGCTATGTTGTCATAAAGTTAATTTTTGTTGCTGTTAAGAACTACTTGTAAGTTTCTTCCTTTCAACGCTGGATTTAAGTTAACTTTTTTGTGCTATGCTGCCATCTGCTGGCCAAAGATGAATTTTCCTCTGCTACTTCAGTTAAACATTAAATGAAGCAGTACAAGGGATACTCAACTTGTAGATTTTTAACAGCATCAATAACTCTAAGGCCATATGGTCATAAATAGGAAAGATGACCAGAGTTTCCAGAATATATAGGAGTAATAAGACTGTAAATATTCAGCATACCTGAGTTTTACATCTGTATCTAATGTATTGTTGATGATCAACTTATGTTTTGTACTTCACCAGTAAAAACTCTGTTTAATTTGACAAAAAAAAAGTCATTTGAGCCATAGTTTGTGTATTTAATATAATAGCTGGTAATACAAACACTAACCCTTAAATTAAATAAATGTATGATTTATTCATATTCATATATCTCTACCAGTTCTTGTTTCAAACCTGGTTAATGGCATCTGGTGCTTTCCAGGGGAAGAAGAACCTGGCATTAGATTTATAATTAGTTAAAGTTTTTATGTTCCAGCGGGCAGCAGTAAAGTTTATATTACTGATGGAGGTTTGCAAAGGTTCACTGTAGTTAAAGATTAAATGTTACTATCGTGCATCTCAAGCCGTCAGTGATCGTCGGCGTTGGCAGCAGACGAGTGTCACAAACCTGAACTCCTGCGATGCGTTCAGAAACCAGCTTTGGACTAAATTTCTCCATTATCAGTGATAAATGCATCGGGAGCAAAATTACGTTAGGAGACATTTTATTTTCTGTGATCAGACTTAAATTGTGGAGTAATGCAATTATGGACTCAAGAGTGTGCCTTTAATTATGTTTTTTAAATAAAATATTTCCTAGTGTAAATATTGTTATTGTACCTTTCTTTTGTCCCAGTACTTTTTGTCCTTTTTGTGTTTCTTATATGCATAAGAAAGTAGTGTGTATTGGAGGATGTTATATATTGCAATCATTTACAAAAGGTAGGTTAGTTTAATTTGGTTTAATTTAATGTGATAATTTCATCACAGAATCAGCTGTCTAACCACATTAATGTGTGTCACAAACTGAGTGTCTTGATGGTTGTTTTTCTAAATTCATATTTTTAACACAGAGACTGAAGTAACAAAATGATCTTGAGCTTGTTAGTCCAAAGTTCACTGAAGTGATGTTTGAAGATCAACATGTTTTACTAGCATAAAAAGTTGTGGTGGAGCGATACTGACTAGTTCACTGTTTTAAAGTCATTTATCTAACATCTAAACAAAACTATGTTTGTTTCACTGTGCTTTATTGATTTCATTTATTTTTTACATTTTGTAAAATTGTTTATTTGTTCTTTTTGTTTGCTTTGTTTTGTTTGGCTGGTGTAGATACCTTACCATAAGGATGCATGTAAACCGTACGTTAGAGTGCATGTTAACTTGATATTTGTCAAGGGCGAGTCCCAGTTTTAGATGTCTTGACCTCTGGACAGGCAGGAAGCTTAAAGATTGACATTTAGTCAGTAATGATGTGATTTAGAAAAAAAAATGCAACCACCAACTTCACCATTGCTCTTCAAGCTGCTGAACTTAATAATGACTTCAAATTGCACATTTAACTTCAGAGTTTTAAAAAAAAACTGATGTTTTCCCTCTTTAGGTGTTAAGTAAATGTGTCAAGGTAGGCAAAGTTGCTACTTTTGTTTCTGGACAGACGCTTCATAAATGTTACATTCTTTGGCTGTTAGGATTTTGCTTTTCATTTGTGTTTGTTCACAACCACCAACTCATGAGGAACACGTAGAGAGAATAATCTTCCACGCAGTCACGTTTTTGAACTGTAGGTGTACCCGGAGAGAGGCAAGCGATGCGCAGAGAAAACATGCAAATACCTTACAGAAAGGCCAGAATTCACACCCAGAACCTTCTTGCTGCAGGGCAACAACACTACAAACGACATCGTCATCCAGACAAAAAGAAAGCTGTGAATTAATCACTTTCCATCCCCAAATATTCTGATCAGCTCAAAAAGCAAAGTGAGAAAATTCTTCTATAATGTTTCAAGAATTGTCAGGCATACCAACAATTGTTAAAAACAGGAAATGTTTTTACCCACTGAATAAATTAAGACTCGGGTTTTTCCATGTTTTTCAATGTTACTGCAAAAAGAGATTAAAATTTCTTTCAAGGCCTTTGAGACCTCTCTTCAAGAATGCCCTCAAACATGACCTGGGATGACCTAACGATGCAGATATGCATAAGTTTGAAAAAGAATTTCGGCAACAAAAGGAGAAGGAAATTATGGAAGAAACATGTCCCCCCCGCTCCCACCTTTCCCCTCGTTTTCACTTCTCTCTCGACCAGCGGTCAAGAGAAAGTGTTTGTTCTCTCTATCTGTGTCCTCTTCCTTCTGCTGATAATGAGTAACTCGTCAGCGTCAACAGGATCTTCTCAGACATCAACTGAGCGAATGAGTGTGTGCGCTTTAGCACAATAAGGCAGGGGAAGATTACAGTGCTGCAGCAATAGTTAGATCTCAGCAGTTTTAAGTGAATCTTGAAAATGTTCTAAATGCTGCAGAGAAATAAACATGTCACCCTGGCGTTGGCCACCAGAGAGCATTAATGAGTTGATGATACTGCTTGGGAAGCACGTCTCATTACGTAAAGTGTTTTCTTTTTATAACCTTGGACATAACACAGTTATGTATTGCCACTTTGTCTCACCTACTGTCATGTGCTTTCAGTGGTGTAAAGTGATTAAACACATACTTCTCCCATTTTACTGAACTTTAACATACTGAGCTTACAATTTGATTTCCAAAATGCTGCTTCCAAGAACTGCCTGATGAAATGTGAAGAAAAATCTTAGATTTTAATTTTCTAGTCTCCTTTAATAGTTTCATCAGTTTTTTTCTCTTTTCAATCAGCTTCTGTTGTAATAATTAATTGGATGAAAGATTTCAAACATTTTTTACAAACAAAATTTTAAAAAAGGGTGCTATCTGTATGTATTTATTTTTCCTTCAGTTTTCAGATCCATTCAACTGGATTTAAGCCTGGATTTGCCCAAAGAAATCAACAACAATCTTTCTTCTCTAAAGCAACCACCGGCATCCCCGATTAATTATCTTCTGCTCTTCCTTTACGTTTTAGTGGACAACAGCAATGCCACTAAAACTTTTTTCATCTTTAGAGCTCCGGTCAGCCCACTTTCAGTGTGGTTTAAAATTCTGATCCACCTTTAAATGTTTCCACAACTTTATCCCTCAGCTCTTCAGTCTTTGTGATGCTGTTTAGTCTCTAATATTCTCCAATTTACCTCTCAGACCTTAAAAAAACAAACAAAAAAACCCAATAGAGATTAAATTACACACAGTTTCTCTTTACTAACACTGAAGACCGCTTTTTACTCTGAATTGGATTCAGTACCAAAACGTCTGAATACTTTTTATTTGTAAAAAAAAACAACAGAAAACAAAAACGATATAAAAACAATTACATCCAACTTTGTGTTTGGTTCTTACGTAAAACACCAATAAAATGTATTTGAAAGTGTTATATTATTGTAAAATAATCGTCATTGTTTTCTTTATTTTTTAGGTTTTAGAGAGAAAATGGGGGAAAGAGACAAAATTCTGCAACGCTGAGGAAGCTGCTTGTGAAGAAAAGTCAGTGGGAGCTTCACTGGAAGTCAGGCAGCAAGTTGACAGGACAGCATGTTGACAGGACAGCATGTCCACTCATCCTTCCTGCTCGTCATGTTCTTTCACTTCCAGCTCTCACACAGATTCATGGCAAAAAGACTCACTCACTTCCTCCGCTTACTTCAGCCGAGCCTGATTTATCCGGTTTGATCAGAGAGGCATTTTGATGCTGCATGTGTTTATTTATTTTTTTGGTTTGTTTGTTTTTTCATTTTCAATTTCAAACCACGAATCACGGCTAAATAAAAACATGGCTTAGCTTCGGTCTCATTAAATTTATGAGTAACATGCACACAGGGGAGTTTTGCCGGACTGAGTCACTCAAATGTTGAGTCACAGCTGGACCCCGTTCAAGACCCAGTGAGGCGACCTGGTGCCAGGGCAGCGGATGTGTCAGCAGTTCATCTTAACAGCAATAAAACGATTGTTTAAAGTAAAATGTGATCACAAGTACAGTGACAAGAATAGAAACAAATGCCCTGATGATTTGATTTATTACATTTGCATTTTTTTGTTAGACGTACAACTTGGGGAAAAAAAAGAAACACAGTAATTCAACAGATCAGAAAACTATCAAAAAGTTAATCTATTACAATAACTTAATTGACTAAGTGAATAAATTACCCTGAATCATTGCAAACAGATTTTTTAAAGACTTTATTTTTTTTATGATGATGATTGCAGCACAGTAAAACAAAAATATTTAAAAATGTTTTTTTTAAGCAGGTTTTTATTATTTTATGTCTCCTGTCTTGTCATTTTATGTTTTTTTATGTTATTTTATTACTTTGGGTGTACAGCACTTTGGTCAGCTGCTGTTGTTTTTGTTAATGTGTTATAGAAATAAATTGAATGTTAACTTTTTCAAGACATATTTTTAAATCTGACAAACCAGACTCATCATGATGCATATCCTAATGTGCATTGATAAACTATGCAACTAAATTTCTAAATGTCTTAATTATCATTGTTATGACTCTATGCAGGAGGAACATAAACATTTTATTATTGAAGATAAATAGTAGCACACATTTAACTAATACGCAATTACACATTTTTACAGGTTTGCTACTAGTTTCATTTACTAAGTTCTTGAGTCAAACTTGTGACAAGTGCTGGGCACAAGAAATCTGAAATGAAATGAGGTGAAACCATTCTCAGTTTGTATAATTTAAAGTATTTAGGACAACAGCCTTAGTCTAACCAAGCCCCTTTTTGTAATAGCATGGCAAATGAATGCAGGGAAACTCTTTAACAGAAAGAGTGGGACCAGGCAAGACTTGCTTGAACGGAGCAAACTGGAGCTTATGGAGGTTGTTTTGGAGGCAGCGTCTCTTTTGTGTGAGGGGAATCAACTTCGGTGCTGTAATAAGAACCAGCCAAGTGTAAAACACAGAAAAGAGGATTATCTGGGACCAGGCACAGCTCCGAGTCTCTCCCACACACAAACACTTAAACACTCAGAAGACTCACCAGTTAATGTTGAACAAGGTATGAGGAAAGTTGCTTCCTACTGTTGAAAGCGTTAGTGTAAAGTCAAACCTTGCATCCTGTTTTTGCGGCGAATAAACAGCCAGTGAAAGAGCAGTAAAGCCAAACGAGTTATTTATTGCAGGAACGCACGTTTTCAGCTCAGATCAATGAATGGAAGAGAATGAAAAAAAGCAAAGAAGACGTCGGGCTTTAGTCCCCATAAGGTCTACATATGGAGCTTGTAACTGTTACACATTTCT